GCTTCAACCAAACTTTCTTAATAAATAAACAAAGCGTTATTAATTGTGGACACATTCGCGTGACATGAATTTGACGCGTCAAAAGAAAATAGTATACGTACACGTAACTCAATTCTTTAATTACGAATAATCAAGCAATTAAAAACGGTAAAAAGGTAAATGCACGTAGGTTTTAAAATAAGTAATTATACATTTTTTTAAGCCAAGTATAAATGGCTAAGCGACCGTGCTAGAACCACGGAACCCGGTAATGCCTAACACCTTCTCCCGGGTTAACACAATTCCTTACTTAGAATTTCTGGTTCGCAGACTTTTAAAAATAAAGTCGAAATTTCCTCGATTTGGAAGTTTAAAATAAACTGGTAACTTGGGACACCAAATAAACTACTCCAAGTGGCGACTCTGATAAATTAATTAATCTCATTTCGATTAATGTCACTTAAATTGGAAAAAACTCCCTTATATATCTCCCCGGATGGTAAAAATGAGGTGTGACAACTCTGGCGACTCTGGGGATGGTTTACTTGAACTGTATTTAAATGTTTTCTTACGCCTCACTTGTGAATCTTCTAAAAAAAACGGTGCACACGTTCGCGTGGCCCACTTTGTCTGTTAGAAGTTATACCAAATAGAACGGGGCTGAGCAAGCAACAAGGCCGGGTAGACTTTTGTGCTCCCGGTACGTTGTCCCCTCCTCGACTCGAGTATGTTCGCTCGGGTAAGCCAGGTCTAGAACACAACCCCATGTTTAAACTTAGAATAACGTAACCTCATGTCGGATCCCTAGTAGGAACGTTTATTTGCACTACGTGCATCTGACCTTAGGGACTCAACACAGGGGCTGGATCCGTCTAGGACAGGTGTACCCAAAACAACTGACCATCCTGATGCATCCTACATGCTATATAAATATTTATTTATTTCGGCTTGCATGTTGACCGGCTAGGAAAAGAAAATCAAGAGAAAAACCAAGAGTAGGGTAGGTATTTGAAAATCCTGAAACTCTTCCGAAATTCTAAAAGAAAAATAAATAATCCCATTTCAAATAATGTCACTTTAAATGAAAAAACTTCCTTATATCCCCTCTCGGGTGGTAAAAAAAGGAGGTGTGACATAGGTCCGCTGGTAAATGTGGATCATCAAGTGATTAAAAGCGGTAAAAGGTAAAATATACATAGGTCCTAAAATGAGTAGTAAAACAATTTAAGCCAAGTATAAATCGCTAAGCGACCGTGCTAGAACCACGGAACCCGGGAATGCCTAACACCTTCTCCCGGGTTAACAGAATTCCTTATCTAGAATTTCTGGTTCGCAGACATTTAAATAAAGTCGATTTCCTCGATTTGGGATTTAAAAAAAATAAATCGGTGACTTGGGACACCAATTAAATTATCCCAAGTGGCGACTCTGATAAAATAAATAAAATAATCACATTTCGAATAATGTCACTTTAATTGGAAAAACTCCCCTATATACCATCGGGTGTGTAAAAGGAGGTGTAACAACTCTGGCGACTCCGCGGGATGGTTTACTTGAAGAATAAAAATAAAATAAACCAACAGGTAGCTTCTATCATTCAGAAGCTCAAAACTAATAACTAAGGCCAAACCTTACTATCTAAAGAAGTATGGCAACAACAAACCAAAAGCCCACTACAACATTAGTACCCAAAGAACGAATCAAACATAATTAATTTGCAACCAACAATACCAACTTATGCAAGATAAAAGCTAAAAAAGTAGAAGGGAATATAAGAGCAGTACTTACTAAGTCTAAACATCAGATTTGATAATAAACATGGAAAATCACAACAAATCAAAGATAATATAAAGAAAAGGGAGAAACAATAACCTTTAGCAAATAAATTGTCTTCAGTACATCAAAAAACCCGTTTAAGAGTTCGAGTAGGAGCTACTACATGCCTATAAGGGAATTTTTCCAATTGAAGTGATATTATTCGATATGAGATTATTTATTTTTTCAGAGTCGCCACTTGGGATAATTTATTTTTAGTGTCGCAAGTCACCGGTTTATTTTAAATTCCAAATAGAGGAAGTTTCGATTTTATTTTTAAAAGTATGTTACATGTGATTTTGACCCTCCCCAAAATTTTCTATATTTTAGTATGTAAATATTTAATATAGCTATTTCAACTAATTTTGACTCTTTTACTTTATTTTATTACAAGAAAATAAAAATTACAAAAATAGTTTCATTAATATTTTGTAGTCATTTTCAATATTGAAAAATACCAAAAATAGTTTTGTTTTAATGGTCAGTCTTATTTTAATAATTATTTTTACTTAAATAGGGCTAATTAATATTTTTGGTAATATTTTTATGGGAAACTTACACAAATGTCCCAAATAAATATCAACTTACCAACCTCTAGCCATTAGTCATAGACTTACCAAAACTAGCCAACGAAAATTGAATAACCAAATAATAGGGTTCTTTCTCTCAAAGAATCACATGCAAAAATCACCTTTCATATTTTTAAGCGTGATTAATAACATTAGATATAAGATGGAAAGGAAATTTCATGGACGGGGTAGTAAATAAGGTGATGAAATACAAAAATCTATACAATATTCCAAAAATATAAACAAAAAAGAAACTTTTTCAATGGGTATAGTTGAAATTCATTGAAAATATATAGATAAGTCAATATACAAAATTTAAGGAAGATTGGAGGTGATTTGACTAGTTTTGTATCAAAATTCGTAATTAAATCGAGTTAAAAAGTCTTCTGCGACACATGTATCAAACATGTATCACGCATGTATCTCACACACAGGTATACATGGATATACATGTGATAGACAATTGATACAAATATGATACACATGTGATACACAAATGATACACAGTGTGATACACATATTAGTTTTTTTTCCATATTCAGCTTTTACTTCGAATTTTCAATTCAAAACACCTCAAAACTTTACCAAATCATCCAAAAACTGAGATTCAAGCTCCTTAAGTTGTGCCCAATCTATTCTAATAACACCCACTGTTGACATGTGATTTTTGACCCTCCCGAAATTTTACCCATTTTAGCATGTAAATATTTAGTTTAGGCCTAATATCGTCATTTCAACTACTTTTTACTATTTTACTTTATTTTATTACAAGAAAATAAAAAATTACAAAAAAATAGGNTTTTTTGCTTTATCAATGGGCTTGGGATTATCATTTTGATCTCACATTATCTTCCTGCTGCTGTGACCTGCTGTAATACTGCTAATTGCTCAATTATTAGCTGATCTCCTCTCATTCTCACTTATATCTCAATTTCCAGGTATGTCACTAGACTCAAGTGACGTTGGATAATGAATCAGCATGTATGGAAGTTGGTTATTGAAGAACTGTTTGATTTGGCCTGGAATTTTCAATTTAGGAACTGTTTAAATAACTTTGTACGTGTAAATTGGAACTTATCGGACTGAAACTGTTTTGTAGTAACTGGACTGTTAAATTCCAGATCCGGATTCATTTTTTTTTAGCCTGTATCTTCAGTAACTGTAGTTGAACTCTTGTGATAGTTGTACCTTAGCATTGGAATATACAACTTCCTATACATTAAGTCTTAGCATAATAAATAGCTTTTAGTAATAGTTTCAAAATTTGTTCCTAGAGTCACGAGTTCCCTATGTGAATATTGCTAATGTGAATAACATACTGAATTGTTAGTGAATGATGTTAGTTCTTAATATTAGCTCTTAAAACACTTGACAAGCTTTTCAGTAGTTGTAAAACTGTCCGAATAATTCATCTTAGCAATTCGTTTATAGCCTGTTAAATGAGACTAAGTAGCTATTGAGTTTCAGTTAATGTATTCATTTGGAATATCAGTTAATGGTAAGGTCTTGACAATCAAGGGTTAATGAATTAGCTAATGTTTAGTCACAAATCATGCCTGAAGAAATAAAAATGCAATACGCCTGTCTGGATTCATATAGAAGACCATTTAAAATAGTTGAGCTTATTCAAGATAGATCAAGTGAAGTTTATACTACTTTGGTTACTGATCATATTTACTGGCTCCAAATTAAAAGTGAGAGTGGGCCTTTGAATTTGTTCTGGGCCCAGGCAGTCCCGCCCTTTTTAAAATGAAACATGAATTGCTTTGAAATACCTGCTAGATATGTTTTGTTCTATTCATTCAGTTATTGGGCCTAATTGTGGGGAATTGACTTATAGACTTTTGGATATTTCAAATATGTTCATTAATTAGGATTTTTCTTGTATCGATAAAGACAACTAAATAGAAAATCGTAGTCTACTTTAGATTTGCCTTTTAAATAATAAATGAGACGAGCCTCGCCAATTGAAATACAAATGCGGGGCCCTCAATAAATGTTATATAAAAATACTTAGAATTCGGGCGGACCGTTTAGCGAATTTCACAGTCTTCCCCAAAGATAATAAACGCGTTGTTGCTTTAGGCGCGTATTTTAATAATATTACCTTCCTAAATGTGGGTGCACATTTATGTGACCCAAATCCAAATCTCAACGAAGTTGAAATGTGTTGACAATCACGGGTGCACTGGTGCGACGTGGTTCGAGACGCATTTTCACGACGTTGCAATTCTTATTAAAAATAAAAATAAAAGCGGTTTACTAATAAAAGGCACATAAGTTAGAACATGTTTTGAAATCAGATAAAGTCAATTACAACAGTTGAGCGACCGTGCTAGAACCACGGAATCCGGGAATGCCTAACACCTTCTCCCGGGTTAACAGAATTCCTTACTCGGATTTCTGGTTCGCGGACTGTTAACAGAGTCATAATTTCCTCGGTTCGAGATTCAATCGGTGACTTGGAACACCATTAATCTCCCAAGTGGCGACTCTGAATCTTAATAATAAATTCCGTTTCGATTGTCCTTTAAGTGGAAAAACTCCTTTATCCTTTATGCCCCTTGCGGGTAAGCGGAAAAAGGAGGTGTGACAATGAGAGGAAACAAACAAAAATAACGCCTGGGATGGACTGAAAATCAGAAAATCAGGCGCCGCAATTCACAGGGAGACCTCCCCTAACGCCTTCTTCTGTCGACTTCTTCTGCGGCAGATTTTGAACGCCGATCCAGCCACAAATGAACCCCCCTTCCCCAAAAACTTCTGCTTCTCCAAGAAGGATCAACGGAACTCCTCATCTCCTACACACACCCATCGTCGCCTTTACTTCAACCCGCCGAAAACCAGCTCCACTCTTTAAAATCTCAACGCTGAAAACAAGGAAAAGAAGATTGAAGAGTTTTCATTTGATAAAAACAAAAAAAAACAGAGTGATAGGTTCTGTTCATGTCATTCGACATTTTGGCTCCTTTTTTCTGAATTTGCAATTCCGAGTATGGATTGATTATGGAGTTTGTTTGATTCGAGTTTGTCGCGGTTCGAATTCGTCGATTCGAGGTTCCCGTTGAGATTTGCGGTTCGTGTCGTTATTTCGTCTTTGCTGCTGCTTTGAATTTACTGGTTGAGTCTATCTCGCCGGCCTCATTTGTACATTTAGTCGGAAATCTAATCGGAAGAAATCGAGGTTCCATCCCTTATCCTTCTCTTTATTTTATTGAGTTAATGATGGTGATTAGAATGATATTAGCCTTTGGTTTAATTGTGTTTGTGCTCGTCTGAGACTTATTGAACTCACTTCATGTTAGTTTGGTTTTAGATGCATTCATTAACTGGGTTTTCATCCCAAGACACAAAGCTTTGCAAGCTTTGAAATGGAAAGAATTGATTCTGTGACTTGCATTGATTATAATAGTTGGTTTGGTTCGTTTAGCAGTATGTTGTACTCGGTCCATCAAGTCCTAATTCGTGTTGTGAATTACAGTTCTCTTTCGTGATTTACTCTTAATATTGTCTTCTTAGTTTGGTAAAAAATGTAGTAATGGGATTGACGGAGTGTTAGATGGCTAGCTACTGGAATACTATTTTGGAGAAAATTGCTTTTGATATTTTTGGTTGATTCTGAATTCTGTGAGGTAATCTTTTCGTCCTTTTCCTATTAGCACCCAAATTGACAAATATTGGTAAGTTTGAAGCATTCTGCCATGGAATCAATCATGTACATAATTTTAGCGATTAATTCTATCACTCGATCCTCGAATGAATCCCAAAACTCATGGCCCCCACTTAATTAATGTTTGAATCCTTAGAATTCGAGGCGTGCCATTTAGTTGAATTTCCATGGCCCTCGCAAACTTGGAAACGCGTAGTTGCTTTAGGCGCGTAACTTAAAATTACTTTCCTAAACTCGGGTGTGCATTTCATGCGACCCAAATCCAAATCCCAAAACGTTGAATAGGAGGTGTCGAGGATCCGAGTGCATTTCATGTGACGTGATCCAAGAACACGCTCTTAAACGGCGTTCACTTTCATAAAAACTAATTAAAAGCGGTTAAACAAATTTATAAAATTGCACTATAGGTTTGAACATGTACAAAAATCAGATTGTTAGCCAATTATAATAATTTAAGCGACCGTGCTAGAACCACGGGATCCGGGGGTGCCTAACACCTTCCCTCGGGTCAACAGAATTCCTTATTCAGAATTTCTGGTTCGCAGACTCCAATTGGGAAGTCGAACTTTTCCTCGATTTGGGATTCAAGTTAAACCGGTGACTTGGGACACCAAAAGCCAATCCTATCCCAAGTGGCGACTCTAAAAATCAAATAAATAATCCCATTTCGAATAATGTCACTTTAAATGGAAAAACTCCCTTATACATTATCCTTCGGGGTAGGTGTGTAAAAAAGGAGGTGTGACACCCACTCAAAACAAAGCAAAAATTTAATATTTTTTTGCTACAAATAGTTTATTGGCTAATATTAGTAATATTTTATCAATTGGCCAATTTTTGTAATGAGCTACCTATAAATGGACATAGCTGGTAATTTCTTTATTTTTATATGGATAAATTTTTAATAAATTAAGCTAGTTTTAAAGCAAAGCCAGTCATAAAAGCCAAAGTTTTTAACCCATTCCTTTAGCCCAAATACACTTAGCTAGACCTAAGAGAAAACAGGGGCGCCGTTTTCTCACTTTGAAGACTCCACCCCATGTATCTCGTCTCCTTCACACCCACCCCATTCCAGCCTTCAACCATCTTCAGCACCACCACAACTCGCTGCCAGATCCATCTCCCTCTTCAAAAAACTCCTGAAATTCTTCACCCCTACACCAAGAGCCCGCTGCTGCTTCATCTCCTCACGCCAAGCGAGCAACCCTAACGCCACCAACAATTTCAGCCACCTCTATCATTTCCCTCATCACCTCAAAGCCGCCGGACCTCACTGACGTTCCTAGCAGCAGCAGTGTGAAAGAACAGCAACAAAAGTGTTCGAGTTCGAAGCTGAAGTCACCGTTCGAGGTCCGTTCGTTGGTTCGCGGTTCCCGTCTAAGTTCGCCGTTCTTGCTCGATCTTGTTCGAATTTTGGACTTGGGATTTGTATCTACTGATTCTCAAACATTACAGGAAATTGTAATTCAACAGGTTCTTCTCACCCCTTTTCTCTTCTTGTTTTCTTTGCTATGGATTGAGCTTCTAAAGAATCATTTAAGGGTGAATAGATTTTTGTGGTTATGTGTGTTGAAATTGTGAATCTGCTTGAGAATTTCCGTGGGGGTGATATAGATTTTAATCTTATGATTTTAGAATAAATGTGTATTGATGCTGTCTCATTTGTTCCATTTGAGATAAACCCAATTTAAATGTGTTAAATAAGAAAATGCTTTTTAGTCTTTACTTAGTTATTGAAATGGTTTTCGCAGAATGTGTCTTAGTTTTTTTTTTTCATTTTTTTTTCTACTTAGTTTTCCAATTATTAGTTTGGTGGAATCCTTGATGAATTACCTATCCAGTTTTCATAGCTGCTTCAACGTCAAGCAAATCTGTTTACTATTAATTGCGAGCTAGGAAGAGAAAGTGATAATATGATATTAGTTGTATATTGGCTTATTTTGACTCTATTCCTCATCTAGCTTTACTTTTAGAATAATCAACAGTACTTGAAAAATAAAAAATGAAAACTCAATAATACCAAAAATTATTCTGTTGAGTTTTCATTTTTTATTTTTCAAGTACTGTTGATTATTCTAAAAGTAAAGCTAGATGAGGAATAGAGTCAAAATAAGCCAATATACAACTAATATCATATTATCACTTTCTCTTCCTAGCTCGCAATTAATAGTAAACAGATTTGCTTGACGTTGAAGCAGCTATGAAAACTGGATAGGTAATTCATCAAGGATTCCACCAAACTAATAATTGGAAAACTAAGTAGTAAAAAAATGCAAAAAAAAACTAAGACACATTCTGCGAAAATCATTTCAATAACTAAGTAAAGACTAAAAAGCATTTTCTTCTTTAACACATTTAAATTGGGTTTATCTCAAATGGAACAAATGAGACAGCATCAATACACATTTATTCTAAAATCATAAGATTAGAATCTAGTTATGATTTTAGAATAAATGTGTATTGATGCTGTCTCATTTGTTCCATTTGAGATAAACCCAATTTAAATGTGTTAAGAAGAAAATGCTTTTTAGTCTTTACTTAGTTATTGAAATGGTTTTCGCAGAATGTGTCTTAGTTTTTTTTTGCATTTTTTTACTACTTAGTTTTCCAATTCTTAGTTTGGTGGAATCCTTGATGAATTACCTATCCAGTTTTCTTAGTTGCTTAAACGTCAAGCAAATCTGTTTACTATTAACTGCGAGCTAGGAAGAGGAAGTGATAATATAATATTAGTTGTATATTGGCTTATTTTGACTCTATTCCTCATCTAGCTTTACTTTTAGAATAATCAACAGTACTTGAAAAATAAAAAATGAAAACTCAATAATAGTAGTTCTTTTCTTCAAATTAAAAAGTAATATTATCTCTTCAGTTTTGCCTTTTGATGTCTCGAATCCAAATCTAATGCTTAGTGGTGAGATATGAAAGCTTTGAAATTGGAATTTCTGAAACGTATTTCAACGTAAACATTAGTTCGTTTATTTTGTCCTAAATGTGAATATGGATGTAGCCGATTTTAGGAAAATCTTGTGGGGGTGCGGCTTATCTCATTTTGGGGTGTAGGATTTTTGTTGTTTTAGTTAGGTCTTAGGTCTAGGAATTGAAAACTTCGATCAACTTTCTTAATAATAAAATGGTTGCTAATAGGCTGCTAATTTAATTTAATTCAAATAGAGTACGGTGTGCCATCATAATTAAATCACCTATGGCCCTCACAAATATTATAATTAGTTATTAAAAATGAACATTCGTAGAAAGGCCTTTAAGCGCGTTTAAAATACAATTGTGTACACGTTCGCGTGACATAATTACGATTTCTAAAAACAAAATCGGAGTATGCGTTCACGCAATTTAGACCAAATTTTCTTAATAATAATAAAGCGTTATTAGTTGTGGACACGTTCGCGTGACATGGTTTTTGACGCATCAAACAAACGGGTACACGTACGCGTGACCCGTTTCAAGATAATTTCCTAATTAAAAGAGGCAAATGCATATAGGTTCTAAAATCAGTAATTAGACAATTTAATAAGCCAAGTATGATCAAAGCGACCGTGCTAAAACCACGGAACTCGGGAATGCCTAACACCCGTTAACAGATATAAACAAGTAAACTTTAGTGAAAATATTGTAGCTCCGATTTAAAGGGTTAGTTTTCGACAGCTCTTAGGTTCCAGAGTTGTGGAAGTTTGAGGGCTTTGCCACACTATACTTTGTTTTCTTGTACTTTAGTTATCTTTATATACACGTGTGTGTGTCACCTTTTATTTTCAGTCACACAGCTGTGATATGCTTTCTGTGTTCTGAACAGGTGAAATTTCATCTATTTGCTGGCAACAAAGGATTCCTTGTTTTGTCTAAGAAAGCATCAAGGATAATATATCGTGGGACACATAACAAACTACTCAGTCCACGTCGTAGAATAATTGGAGTGGAAACAAAAAGCAAATAAGCTCTGCACTCTTAGAGGAGTCTGCCCTCATCTCCAACGAAAAAGAAGCAATGTGGAGGCTATCACCTGCTAGTTTTGAGGCTGTGTCTTTGATTAGAAAATGCTTAACAACTTCTGCTGAACCATCATTTTCACTGTCCATACCGCTTCTGAATCTGTTGAGAGCGTGCAAAACTGTCAAAAACCTTAAGCAAGTTCACACCCACATAATCCAAAAAGGCTACGAGCAAGACCATTTTATCATCAACCAGTTTATATCGCTCTGTAACACCTTTTCCTCCGATGTCTCTTATGCAACAAGTGTATTTGAGCGTGTCATGCAGCCCAATGTTTATGTCTGGAATACATTGATTAAAGGGTACAGCAAACATTCATCCTTTGCCGATTGCTTCCTTATCTTGAAACAAATGAAAAGAAATATGAATGTGGTACCCGATAAGTATACTTTTCCTTCGCTGGTCAAATCCTGTTCAAGTGCCTTGGCTTTGAGGGATGGTCAGGCCATTCATGGGTTGATAGTTAGATACGGAACTGATAGCGATGTGTTTGTAGGATCCAGCTTGATTGATCTTTATGGGAAATGCAATCAGATTGAGTATGCACGTAGAATCTTTAATGAAATGCCTTTACGGAATGAGGTTACATGGACTGCTATGGTTGTTGGCTATATATATTTTGGTGATTTATCGCAAGCATGGAAATTATTTGATGAAATGCCCCATAAAAATATAGCCTCGTGGAATGCAATGATTAGTGCATTCGTGAAGTTTGGTGATTTGCTTAGTGCTAGGAAATTGTTTGATAGTATGCCTGGCAAAGATGTGGTATCTTTTACTACTATAATTGATGGTTATGCTAAGGCTGGTGACATGGCATCAGCGAGGTTCCTGTTCGATCAGTCTTTTGACAGAGACATAATATCCTGGTCTGCTTTGATATCTGGGTATGCTCAGAACGGGCAGCCCAATGAAGCTCTTAAAATTTTCCATGAAATGTTGTCAATGAATGTTAGGCCAGATGAGTTTATAATGGTAAGTTTGATGTGTGCGTGTTCCCAATTAGGTCGCCTGGACTTGGCAAATTGGGTAGAACATTATATGAGCCAGAATTCATTTGATCTTAATCAAGTGCATGTAGTTGCAGCCCTTGTGGATATGAATGCTAAATGTGGGAATATGGAAAGGGCGACAATGCTGTTTGAGGGAATGCCTAAGCGTGATCTAGTATCATACTGTTCAATGATACAAGGCCTGTCTATTCATGGTTGCGGTTCTCAAGCTGTAGTTTTCTTTGATAGGATGCTGAACGAGGGGTTTGTGCCTGATGATGTTTCCCTTAAGGTAATTCTGACTGCTTGTAGTCGTGCAGAACTTGTTAAGGAGGGTTGCCGCATCTTTAATCTAATGATAAACAAATATCCTGCTAAGCCTTCTCCGGATCATTATGCATGCGTAGTAGACCTTATTGGAAGATCAGGAAAACTTAAAGATGCGTATGAACTTATAAGGTCAATGCCCATTGAACCTCATGCTGGTGCCTGGGGCGCACTTCTAGGGGCTTGTAAGCCACACTGTGACATTGAGGTAGGGGAGCAGGTATCCCATAGACTTTTTGAACTTGAGCCTCAAAATACTGGTAATTACGTACTTTTGTCAGACATCTATGCTGCGGCAAATCGGTGGTTAGATGTTGCGTTGTTGCGTCTGAAAATGAGTGAGAAGGGTCTTAAGAAGATACCTGGTTGCAGTTGGGTAAGAAACAATCCTTAAAACTTTGTCCTATTATTGTTCATGTCTTTATGTCCTGTTTAAGTGTTTTCCCTTCATTGGAAAATTAGTGTATCTGCTTTTATCTCTTACTGCACATTTTGAGTCATTTAACTATTTTCATTAGTTGACTTCTTCAAGAGGACTAACATTTGGAACTGTTTTACTTATTGCTGGTAGGAATATAGTTTGAACTAGGAACGGAGTGATGTTTTCTTTTACTTATTGAATTACTTTCTTTGATCAGCCTGGCGTTTTTCCCAATGTGGTTCCCTTTTAACTAGTGCCTTTTATTATAATGTTTCAGCCTTCTTTGTCAACTAATTTCTATTATATAGAAGAGAAAGAGTTTCGACGTGTGCGTCTTATGTCATTTTAAAAAGCTCGAGGGTATATTAGTCCTTTCGCACCAATTCTTACCATATCATACACGTGGCTTATTTTTCTATACAAAATGCTACGTGCAAGTTCTAAATGAGTCCAAGTGAGTTTTATAGAGATAACATATTAGGTTTCCTCCATTTTGTTTGCACTTTCAGATTTACGTTGCTTCCTAGAGATATCTTCATCTACCTCAAATTGCTTCGACTTGCAGGTATGTTTTTATTCAATTTTGCTCATGTTTTTTGCTATGCATTTGATAAATTATCAGTTACCAAAGCTAAATAGTGCACTCCTACACTTCATTGTACTCCAAATTCGGCAGAATTCACATTTTCTGTTGATTCCAAATTTGATCCATTCAACAGAGGCAAAATTCATCATTATGTGCCAATAAAACAAAATCCCCACTTTCTGTTGTCCCATTCCAACATCGATTCCAAAAAGGCTAACCACAAAATTGAAAAGATATTGTTGGAAATTTGCTCTGTCAATTAGTTAATTTTTGGGTTGAGTTGGGGTGGACGAACGCTGCACCAAAGAGCTGTATGAAAGCAACTTAAATTATACTGTAAACTTGGAAAGAACACTGTAATTTTGAGATTGTGACTCTATACAGGGGTAAATTGATCCCTTTACCTCCTCATAGAAACACATGTAGCTCTGTTTTTCTTCAGCCCAATTTCTGCTTTTTTGCTCTCCTCGATTCTTCAAGATTGAGGCTGACTCCATTGATTGTTGGCTGAATTTTTCAAGGTGTTGTGCATAGATTTCAGCAATTGTAAATCATATTCTTCGTAGTCTTTGGCCCTGTTATGGTCCTGCTGTTGAAACACAACTCAGTGAAACATGTTAAACTTTGGTTTCTTTTTCTTCGAGATTATATATTTGTTGTTCTTTTTTGTCTTTCTTCATGTTTCTTTGAAAATTCTGGACATGCATTTGTTTATTTGTTGAAATGCCTCTTATAAAAATTCTCTATATAGGAGCATACTCTACTACAACGCTGCACCGATGCACCTAAGGTGTTTGATAATATGCCTGAGGCAACTATAATCAATTTTTTTATTTCTTTTCCTTTTTTCACACATGAGTTCTATAACTTACGCATCATTCAACAACCAAAAGGTATATGGTTTATTACTGCTAGATAGTATTAGTAAACAATATATATGTCATATGCTGTCGTTTTAAAGAATTGCTTTTTGAAATAATAAATTCCATTTGCTTCTATGTATATTTCTATTGCAATATTGCTATCTAGCTTTGCGTTAACAAAAGATTTGGATACAAAGAAATGTGATCATGCTCCCCATGTTATTATTGCCGTTACGAAGCTAATTTGGCTAGAGAGGAAGGAAGAAAATGACAACAATTGAGTTAATAGGATGTTGACTCTTGGAACAAATATTGGTAATTTCGAGGCATTTTGTAATACAATTTTAAAGAGCAGTATGGTACTAAAGAGCAAGGGAATAATGTACGAAAAAGAGGTGATGTTGTAGGGTCGTAGCATGGTGAAAAATGTCAAGCTTTTACCAACACCGATGAGAACTTTCATGATCCAACTGAAAGCATGTTGAAGAAGGCTAACCACTAAAATTAGTGAGTTGTGGTCAATTGACATACCTTACCTTTAAATCTATGAGTTAAATGATAATTATTGATTTATTCTTTAGGCACCATATTCTAACAACTTAATGAAAATGACCTGACAATCAAGAAGTCAAGATTATTTAGCTACTAAGTTTCACTTGATTCGTCCTTTGTTCTAAATGAATGTGACAAGATGACTTCTTATAATTAATTATATGAATGGTAGAAGTGACTTCTAGATGTTTTAGTTTCTTTTATGGTGGTTATCTGAAAAGAAATAAACAAAAAAGTAGTACTTCTGTTCAATGGTTGAGCGTTGAGTTAAACTTGGATATATAGACGCTTTGGATTACATATGGCGCAGTATTTATAAACTAAATTGAGCTTTGAGCTGTTTAGGTCATTCCGCCATGAATTTTGAGCTTGAGTCTCTTAATTAGTATGAACAATTTTCGATTAGACGATGAGCATGGTTTCGATTTTCATTTCTGAGAATAGTTATTGCAGCTTACTATTTGTTATTGCTCACAATACACAAGAAGGAAGCACCCTCACACAAAAAGGGAGAAAAAGAATTAGAAGAAAAATTAACATCTTAGTTAGTAGAAGCATTTAAAGGTATTTGTCTATGATATTCCTGCTCTGTCACCTCAAAATAATTGATGAGATCGCTGGAATATGTTCCATTCACCTAAAGAGATGATTTGAAGTCGTCACTACTTTCATTATATGATAGTGGTGTCTTTTTTAGGTTGATCACACATTAGGACTATCAACAGAATGGTCTCGCCAGGCTCTATGCCTTACCAATAAACATTAATATGCTCGAACAACTTTATAGTGATTATTTTTCTTTTTGGGTAAGTGCAAGCTAATTTGATAATATGAGTATGAACTTATTGGATATCAGTAGTTTATTCAGCTTTCCTTGAATTTGTACAACAATTTATCTTTTGAACTTACTATTTCTACTTTTTTGGGATAATATTTGTTTTTCCTGTTATATGATTTTATCTTGATTTCTATATAGTTTTTCTAATTCTTTTTGTTCGTTCACATGAAATGCAATCTTAATTTATATGTCTTTTTATTATTTACTTTGTTTGATTAACCATGAAAATGATGGAAATGAATAATCTTATTGAAGAAATATTTATGGAACTTGGAGTTACCAACTAAATCAAAAGGACATGAAACTAGGGCGAGATTGATATAACTAGGCTGCTACAGATAATTGCTTAGTCCCTCTGATAGGTTTAGTGTCTCCATTTCCCATGGCTATAGCTTGCTACTGGTATAATATGTCAATCTTCATATGTCTATTACGCAAGGAAAAAATTGATGGACTAAGCAATATTGCTTTAGGTACTGCTCTTATTCTACGATCAAGGCAGGAGGAGTATTGCATGTTAATCCATGCAGTAGTTCTTTGGAATATGGACTAAAGGCTAAAATTGTTTACTCTATCTGGTTTAACAATAATTTATGGAGATGTGACATCCTCTTTCTTCATTGTGATATTAATCACTAATTAGACCTTTGTCATAGAATATCTAATCAATTGGGCAAACAAAGTATGAGATATATGAAAATGATATTATATTTTAATTGATTTAGAAGGAAATCTTAATAGTCGTTCCAATGGAACTTCTTTCAAATAGGTAAGCCAGTGGAGAATTTGCAAACTTCCGACAAGTCCTTTTGGATTCAAATAGAGGTGTCCAGGGTCCCATAAGGTGAAGGATGCCTACTACTAGCTGAACTTTTGTGATAGTATTATTCCCTCCATTTCAATTTATGTGAACCCATTTGACTGGGCACGGAGTTTAAGAAAAAAAAGAAGATTTTTGAACTTGTGGTGTAAAATGAGGCACATATATTTTGTGTGCATAAAGGTAAATTGTTTCCAAATAAGGAAAGGGGTTATTCTTTTTTGCACGGACTAGAAAGAAAATAGATTCACATAAGTTGAAACGAAGGCAGTACTACATATCACATTGCACCAGCTGGAATCACTCACAAAAATAGTTTTATACTAAGTACCTTATTCATCGGCAAGGAGTTGATAGCTAGGACTTCAACGCATATGGTAGTTGTCATGGCAATGATGACATTATGGCTGAGTACTTCTGCCAACATTTACTTGGTATACAAGCTTTTAAAGGGGGAATTGGCAAAAAACTATTCAGATTTCCATTGGAGGAACACTCTATATTTGTTGATGCTACAGTGATACATTCCTCTATTGGTTTTCTAATCTTTCTATTGTGCCTTTGTTTCAAGTTATTTTACATTGAGAAAGAGTTCCTTTTATACGTTTCACCTTATAAAAAGAAGTATTTTTTATACAATTCAAAATCTGTAACATCAAATTGCTAGTTGTTTCAAAGCTTATTTTCTGTATTCCTTAAATAGATTATACTTTCAGGAATATAAGTCTGTTGCACAAGACAACTATGATATTGGCGGAAGAGAATATGGAAGTGGAGGTTCCCAAGATTTTGGCTGCCTATGGTCCCATTTTCTGGTGAGTTGCACTGCTACTCGAAATACTTATTGATTTCTTTATGTTTCTGCTCTGTAGCATATTTTAATGAAGTAAACTCTGTGGTAGGAATGAAAGCCCTGTAGTGAAGGTAGGAGCGAGAATTGTCCCTCTTATGTTTGAACGGCGGTGAGCATTCACAAACCGTGGGAATTGCTATATTGGACTGTGCCTCTGTCTGAATAGTGAATGCATCAATTTTCTTCTCTTTTTTCTCTTTCGGTAAAGCGACTTGCATTCCAGATTTAGACAAGAGTTGAGCACACCTTTTAGAGTGATAGGTTGTTACTAGGGGTGGCAAAGTGGTTCAAAGAAAACAGTTAACCACCCATATTATCCACTAGAAAATGGGTTGGATAGTGAACTTTTTAAAAACGGATCAAATATGGATAAGAACCATATTATCCATTTAAAAAATGGATAACCAATGAGTAACCAATGGATAACCAATGGGTCTAACTTTTACATTTGTAAAGCCTCAAATTAGGGGTTCCTCAAGTTAGGGAGACTAAGAATTCTCCCAAAAGTGATCATATACAAGAAGTCATGGATAATATGGGTAACCCATATTATCAGCCGGTTAACCCGTTTTTTTATCCGTATGAAATATAGGTCGGGTCGGATAGTTGATCCGTTTTTTCATTACCCATTTTCGAACCGAACCATATCCGACCTGACCCGCCCGTTTGCCACTCCTAGTTTTTACCTTGGTTAAGGCTCCTCAATACATTGATGGCTAAGCTATTGTTCTGCTAAGCATGTATCTGATATTTACACATCTAATTAAGTTTTGATTATTTCCTACTGCGTCTCATCACAGATTAAACGGTTTGTTTCTTTTTCTCAGTACTGTTTGCCATTGTTCTTGATGATACAATAAATTTGCTGGATTTCATAATGTTAAAAGTTATTTCAGAATGTAAAAGAGTACAAGAGCTATCAGAAGTTTAGTTTATGACTCTGTTCATGTTGGGCCCGTGCTTTTGCACGGGCTACACCATACTAGTTTATATATTAGAAAAGCATGAGTTTCGACATGGTTGCTTATGTGTCTGTACAATTCAAGCTGGGGGTATTACAGTCATTTAGTCATTACCTGCTTTAGTTGTACAACTGCACTTACCTGTCGACGATTTGTAACTACACGTCTTTTAACCTAGAAATGAATAGCCACATACTTGTTCTTTTCTATTTTGCTTCTATGGCTCAAAATCAAAAATCTTCAGGAGCCTCTTTGATTCTCTTGCCTTCTAGCTGTGAGTAGTTCTGCTAATTTCTCTGGTTTTAGTTTTTCTACACTAATTAATTCTTCGTTCTTATAATTTTTTTTCCTGTTTGATTGTACTATATTTACTTCTGATTCTTGCAATGCAGATTTTCTAGCAAGATCACAAAATTATTGACGACTATTCACCGATCTATTGGCAAAACTTGAAAAATGTTATGTGTTTCTTGGCCTTACCTTTGACTTCTCATACTTTACTCTGGGTATGATACTTTCTTATCTTCTTCTTTGTCGAATCCTCCTAATAACTTCTCTACATGATTGCATTGAGTTGCTTCTTTTTATTTCACATTCACTCTCTGTCCGGAAATTTGCTTTAGCATATTCAATTTATCTTTCCAATCTCCAACTTGATCAAATCAAGCATTACCCCTTTTTTCCCATAATCTCTTATTAGTTAGATTATGGTTGTTGAACTATCATGGGATTTATTTTTTTGGGTTACTTGTGGAGTATTAGACTAGGATTGCTTTCAACAATATATAAAGTTGTGCATTCCTGTGACTTGGAGGAAAATATATAGGTTTAGACTAGTATTAAAATTTCTTATTTAAGTTCATCAAAATACAGTTGCTGAATTTTGTGTCCCCTATAAGTATGCAAAGAAACCAAATTGGATTAGTTTGTACTTACTACATCCATTCGTTGGATAATAATTTTTTTATTTATTAGTAGAAGAAACAAAAAAGACTAGGTTCTAAAATAGTTCTTAATATGATATTCTTAGCTCTGGCAAGAGTGAGGATTTTTATGTTCTCTTTGATGTTCAGGTTTCTCTTCTTGCTGTAATTAAACATTAACACTTTTAGCATGGGTTATGGTTCTTCATCTTACTTCTAAAGATATTATATTTGTTGATTGAAGGTTTATCACTTAACAGTTGCTATAAGCCCCATGTTCTTCTGTACTGATTGTTTTTCACTTCTTATGTACTCCTTGTAGCATCTAATTCTCCGTATCTCTGCTTGAATCAGATCTTTCCCATGATAATGGTGCTATGGTTAAGTTAGTCATATATAGATCATCAGCTGCTGTTTTAAAAAAGCTAATTTTTAACGTTGAGACAAATTCCCCCTATTATTGTTTAAAAACATAATTCATTTCTATTTATCTAACTAGTTGCAGTAAGCCCGTGCTGAGCCCGGGCCCAAATTCAAGGTCAAAACATACTACATATGATTAAAAAGAACAATTTATATTATGTTTTTAAGTTTTCACCAAATATCGTATTTCTCCTGATAAAAAATAATCGAGCATACTCAAATTATAATCAAGATAAATTTTAAATACACCAGCCCGTTTTCAGTCTGGTATTCCTTGTGAATCCCGGATTGATATACCATGTATCATATTTAAGAGATTTTCTTAGAACTCGTATCAACACACAAAGAAACTGGGAATAACATTACTTAAGTTCCTACAATCTTCTTAACCAAAAAAAATATATAAATGTCCACACGCCAAAAGAGTTTTAAAATATTAGGCTTAATATATTTTACTCATCTTGACAAGAGGGGTTGCTCTGATGGTAAGCAACCTCCACTTCCAACCAAGAGGTTGTGAGTTCGAGTCTCTCCAAGAGCAAGGTGGGAAAGTTCTTGGAGGGAAGGATGCCGGGGGTCTATTTGGAAACAGCCTCTCTACCCTAGGGTAGGGGTAAGGTCTGCGTACACACTGCCCTCCCCAGACCCCACTAAGTGGGATTATACTGGGTTGTTGTTGTTGTTGTCATCTTGTTAATATTTGATCCTTTTCACTTTTAAAGGATGCGTTTTTGCTATTGTAGCGATAAAATTATGAAGACCAATAAATAGGAGTTTGGATGCTTACATGTTTTTCTTTAATTTGTGAAGGTAAAAGGTACATAAAGCTATAGTACTTCAACAATTCGAATTATAGAACCAAACATTTTAGTTAAGATGCAACCATGACTCCATTTGAAGGTTAGTATAGGGTGAGAAGTGATTGTAGAAAGATACTATGTACTATCTCCTATAAGAAACCAAAGAGTTACAAAATAGACTTAAAAGTGGTATTGTTAACTCAACACCCACAAAACTGATAGAGAAAAAAATAGCAACTTTAAGGGCAATGGTTTTGAAAACTTGAATGTGAGGATAGGAAAAAAATTCTATTTCCCCTTATTATAAATAAAATATTAAGCCAAAAAATATTTATTTGCTTCTAAACATTATCAAATCAAGAGAAAAAAAATATGTAACACACTTTAAAATTAGATAATTAGTGTAATGTTTAATAAGGGTAGCTATTTAAGGGAGAGTTGGATGTGAGATGATAGTAATAATCATTAATAGGAGCTATTTAAGTGGGGCTCATATAATCTTTCTAATAGAAAATATGGGAATGACAAATTTATGTGGGGTCCATTCATCATAATAGCCTTTAACCTTGCTTAACGTGTAAATTACAAATTCAATAAGGCCGACAAGTGAGGCTTGCTCAGTGGTAAGCACCTCCACCTACGACCGTTAGGTCCTGGGATCGAGTCACGCTGGAGGGGAAGTGTGGAAACACTATAGATCCTCCTAATTTGGGAGGGCTTTTAAAAATAAAAATAAAAATAAATAAGGCCTATTGTTGCAGCAAACTCACACGTGTCACTGAGACATTAAATAATATGGCAAGTTGTAAACCATAAAACAAAAAGTAAATTTGACATTAAAAATAAGATCAAGACATAAAAGTAATTAAGTAAAACGTTTATATTTTTTTTTGGAAATGTACGTGAGAACTACAAAAGCCCTTTGATTCTCCCTTATTATATATAGTAATTAATTATACTGAATTGGAGATTTTGCCTGTACTGTTATAGCATGGTCTATTTATATGTAACAGATAATAAAGGTACACTGGATAGAGGAAAAGTAAGAGATATTAAATTTGTGTTCAGCATTACATAGAATCGTCCTACAACTTTAAATTATATGCAAGCATGTTAACAACTGTTTTTCTCATTTTAATTTACCAGCTTGATGTTGGGGTTTACCAAAATAATAGTTCCCTATTGGTAGTGACAATGTCTGGTATCTTCATTTGTACAAACTATAAAGACAATATGTTGCTATATACTTTTGTGTCTTCAGATCACTCGGACCTTTCACTTGCAACTTCTACAAATATTTGGATATACTGTTTGATCAGACTTATAAAGAGTTCTGGAAGGCAATTGGTAGTAATATTGTGATATTCTATGTTGTTTGGAAGTTTAATATTGAAGGCTAAAAGTAAGATTAATAGTTGATTCTTCAACTACACTTACTGCTCTGTTGTATCCAGTGATTAAAAAAGACACTCGTTTCCTCGCTTTAAGCGAGAAGCGAAGCGAGGCGTGAAGGGCAGCACGAAGCGACTCTGGTACGAAAAAGCGACCGCTTCTCGGTAAAAAGCGAGAAGCGGTGAAGTGAGAAGCGTCCGCTTCTATTTTTAAAATTAACCCAAGCCCTATTTTATTAAAAAACGAGGTTTCTAAACCGTAAACACTGTCTGGACTTCTTCAACAGCAGCGATTTCTTCTTCTCTTCTTCATCAACTTCTGATTTCTGAAATAATCTCAAAGCATCTACTAGGGTTCTTCTTCTTCTTCTTCAACAGTACAGGTATGTTCTGCTTCTGCACTTTTGATTTTCAGTCTTCTTCTTCTTCTTATTCTTTTTCTTTCTAAACGTCCAAAAAGCAGCTAAATGATGGCGAATTTTTTTCAGAAATTTCTGCCAGTTTTTCCAGTTTCTGCCCAATTAATTACGTGACCAACTAGTTGAGTGGATATTTCCTCGACGGTGAATAAGTATGCGTGGAGTACTTAAAACGTTCCCTTGCATGTTTCCACACCTTATGCAAGAAAGACGAGCCCCAGAAGCCTAACACAAAAATATTTGGTCAAGTCTGTGTGACATTAGAAATAGGCTTGCCTTCTAGAAGATTGTCGTTTTGGATCACCCACCCTAGAAGAATGATAAACTGTCTGTATATTTGAGTCAATAATCTTGCTTGCATCGACTCATGATAGTAATCAGGGCATCCCCACTGATGCTTGTTGTATTTACTGTTTCCTCTTCAATGCTTAACGATACGCCAGGTGTATCGGGCATATATAAAAGTAAACAGATAAATGGTCCTTTTTCTTCCTTTATTTTGTTCTTTTTGGCTTTTCATTTTCTTTCTTCTGCCTTGGATTGGAGGGGTTGGGGGTTGGGGGGGGGGGGGTCCTGATGAACAAGGGACTCTTATTTGTCAGCTGTATGTTAAGTGCCCTGTGTATCCGGATAGCATTGTATCTTATCAGGTCATAGATTCACGCTCAAAGGATATTTTGTATGGCTTTAATCAAATATTCAAGAATGCCAAATTATATTTTGACATTTGCTATTTACTACTCACTCTTAACTGACTTACGGGGACTTTGGAATGCTTTGCAGGGTCCATGTGCTATATGTCTGGTTCCTTCCAAATGGAAAATGTTTATGCCACTGAAAATGAAGCAGGTGTTTGGCAATGGCTTTTTGGAAAGACTATTACAAGCATAGTTCTTTACAATACAGGTACAACTGATGGATTTGTCGGAATAGCTGCTCCTTCTCTGGCAAGAATCCTTCCGGTTCGTTTACGTTCGAACTATATTTTCATCTTGTTTGGTTATACAATCTTCTTTAGTGAGTACACCCTTGTGCATGTGCACAATCTGGAAATTGGGGATACAAGTGCAGGATAATCAACCACCAATAAGTATAATGTCTTATTTATTCTTGCACCGGGGTATCTAGAAAGGTATTAGGTGGAGAAAATTGTGAGATTTCGTTACACATTGTTAGTACGGATGATTCTGTTTACATATACTATTACTAAATAAATTGGTGTTTGTTGCGTCTGTTATTGTTCCCACACAGATTGATTTAGCGAAGTTTGTAGGTGAAATCTTATGCCAGGTAAAGATAATTTTTTATCTTAATATCCTTTTTAGTTCTTGCAAATAGGTCTCGTCCTTGTAAGCCCCGTCTTGTTTGCTTTAAGTGTTTACCAGTTAAGTATGCTTTCTACCTTGACATATGACTTCAAGAATATTATTTTGTAGCCAGATGCATTTCTCTGCTCCATTAATGATGTCAAAGTCAGTAATTCCATCGACCAAAGGTCACGTAACCTAAGTATTGAACATTTGCTTACAATTACATGTGTTGTCTATACCGTATTTATTTTAATTTTTTTTTAAAATTCCGCTTCACTTAAAAAAAGCGGGCGCTTCGCTTCTCGCCAGGGGCGGAGCTAGAGAACTGAGTGCGGGTTCGACGAACCCAGTAATTTTGGTTCGAACCATGTATTTGTTTTAAAAAATTCATTGAATATGTATAAATTATTATTTTAGAACCCAGTAACTTAAAACAATTAAAATCCTGAACCCATAAGCTTGAAATCTTGGCTCCGCCTCTGCTTCTCGCATCTCGCTTTTCGTGAAATGGGGGTTGTCGCTTTTCCTCGCTTCACGCTATTTTTAACACTGGTTGTATCTATCGACATTCTTACTCAAACTTTAGGTGGACATATATAATTAATTTGTATATTAGCTATCTAATGGATCTAATTTGATTTTTCCTGTTAGGGGAGAATTGAAGATAGAGGGGACCAAAGATATGTGGCTTTAAGGAAATTATGTGAAAGTAAGTGAAAAATGCTATAGAATTGATTACGCTGGTCATCTAAATAACAGTCTCCCTGGTCAAATTGGGACCATAATGAACAGTCGGCACCCTAGACCCCCTTTTTGTCTTGCATTTTTCATGTGTAGAATGATCAAATGAGTGAACCTTCATTACAATTGTTTTTCCTTCTCCCATAGATCTATCTTCTGTTATTGCATAGAGATGATTTAATTAGGCAGAATCTGACAGTGAAACAAGCTGCTAATAATTGGTCTAAAGACCAATGGGTAATCTTCTACGCTTTTAACACCATCCTTAGATTGTGGAGGAGGTTTCTCAGCTTGTTTAACTTCATAGAAACTATATAGTATAATCTTCTACGCTTTTAACACCATCCTTAGATTGTGGAGGAGGTTTCTCAGCTTGTTTAACTTCATAGAAACTATATAGTATAAATTCTTTTTATGAAGTTTCACATTTCTGCTGTCATGTTAGTTTTAAAATATCTTATGCACAATATTGCATTCCTGGAATGAAAATGGCATGTTTGCCTTTTCCCTACTGTGCTCTAAGTCGGCGACGATTTAGAATGTTCTATTGTGAGTAAAGAACACTTGGATCTTTGAAAATGACTCATGCTTGAAAGGTTCCAAGAAGAAGTGCACATAATTTTAAACTGTTGCAATCTTGATGGATATTTGTTGCTGTCTCATGGAATATTCAGACCTCTTTTATATTACTTGAGTTACTTTTAAGCACCAGCGAATGACCTTGTTTTCCTGCATTTTCAAGTGGATAAAAAATTAATTGGGTACATATAACTCATCCTTTGTCATAATAGAGTGTCTTGACGTTGTGAGATTAGATTATTTTCACTGACATAGAAGACCTACCATCTACTAGTAGTACATTGTTTGAAAATGAAAATTGTTAGCTTCCATACCTGATCTTGTATGTGAACTAGCATGCATTCTCACAACTCATTTATATATGGTAGTGTTATTGAAGTATTCTGTATTCTCAAAAAAAAATCCCGGCTGTCTTGTGTATTCATGAAATTATTTTTCATGCAGGAGCTTTTTTGAAGCAAGCTAAATTTAAAACTGCTGCCTTTTCTGAAAGCTATACGGAAGGAAAAACAGGATTGCATAGGATAGGATAGGACAGGACAGACGATGCTCTAAAAGGTTTGCCAAATTACAATCAACTAATCCATCTTCACTGCTCTTTCTCTCTCTCAATCTCTACTATTTTCATAGTATATACTTTTCTTATTTTCACATGAAGGAACCAGACGCCAACCAACAATCATCACATCTATTGACTTTTTGTCAGACACTGCAACAATGGTGCTATGGTGCTTGCCGACAACATGCTGGTTGCATAAATGCATCATCACCTTTTGCCTGTATCAGATACTTGCGAATTGCAATTTGTAAATATAATATGTATGCGAACAGTACTACTATAGATCAACTATTGGCAGAGGCGAATGTAGAAGGTTGACTACGGGTTCAATTGAACCCATAACTTTCTACGTGGAGCAAAAATTTATATGTAAAAATTCCTTAAAATTATAAAAATAGTAGATAAGAACCCATAACTTTAAATATATAATGGGTTCAACGCTAATAACTTAAAAATTGAACCCGTAAAATATAAATCCTGGATCCGCCTCTGACTATTGGTCCAAGTGCATGCAAATAGTATGCATCACGTATTTTCAACTCTTAATAAGGGTAGTTGATATATTCAATTGATAAACAAAATGGAATATATGTAGTATCTTATGTTTGTATTCAATTATATTTTCATACCAGCAAATATTGGGCCTGTGCTTGCAGTTTAGGATAGTTACCTTTATTTTTCAGGTGGAATAGTCTATGATCTCCCAAATATTTTTCTTCTCAGCTTTTACCTATTAAGCGCGAAATTTGTAATGTTATTGTTTTGTAATTTATTAGCCAAGTTGAACCTCTTTCTGATTTTTTTCTTATTTTACTTTGTGGGAATTAGGTATAATGTGATGGCAATTTGTGGACAGTGGACACTCGTTGAACAAGGAACTACAGAAGGAAATCAAAGTGGAAAATCCCTTGTTGCATAAGTGCTGAGTTGAACTAAACCAGTTTCCCATGAGTCAGGCTGCATACATGACTGAAAATTCAGATTTTTCGCACATGGAATTGGATAGTTTACTATTACATAGAGGCTTGGTCACTTTTACTAGTGGGACAGATAAGCATGTATATGCAGATTGATTTTAAATCCAGTAGCAGCAAACAATACAGCAGCTGCAACATTCCTCAAACTTCCCGTTAACCATCCGAAATCACCCCGAGGACCCCGGGACCTCAATCAAAAGCACAAACATCACCTCATAAATTTCACCATCACAAAAGATCAAGCTTATTCAAGTCTATTAATTAACAAAGATATAGTCTTGCGGTTTTTCTTAATCTTCTTTACGCTCAGCATTTTGATAAGGTAAAGAAATGGCACAACATGGTACAAGCCAAAATCAAATGCAGCTAGTTGGTGAACACGACAAAATGCTAATGAAACAATTAACGGTACGACGTAAACCCATTTAAACTAATTACATCTCACAAAATTAGGGACCAAACAACAAGTAAGAAATGGTGTCTCTAACATGAATAAACATATCAACTATGACAACACATTAATAAAATTAAGAAAACTAAAACATCAACAGACCTCTTTCTTTGAGTAAATTTTCTTCATTTTTATTGACATCCAAGTTTGGATTATAGAAGGACAAATAAACATCGAACAACATACTCATGAAGCTTGAACAAGAATAATATGAATTCACATGAAACTTGAGATAGCTGGTTGGAGCTTAGCAGCGATGAACATCGAACATTCACGGCGAAATCAATTCCCTATCCCAGCTTCCACTGCTTCCTCAAAATCCTCGTTAGAGAATTGATGGGCACATGAATTTGAACCCCTGAATTACATTATGTCCGTCCTTATCTCAAAGCTTTTAGACTAATAATTTGTGACTGGGATATGTTTTCTGAAGTAACAATCTTCTGCTATTCTTACTAATTAGAAACACACAAGGCTTTCATCTCTAAAAATAATAGTAATATTCAAACTTTTGAAGAAAATCAAGTTTTCAACCCCTACATTATTCTTTTTTTTTCCGTTTGTTTTTTGCCGTAAAGAATTTCGAAGGCAAATTTTGAAACCTTAACTTAGTAGGAATCGACAAAGGGTAGCAACAGAAATGGTAAGTCACCAAACTAGTAACAATGAGCAATGTTAGGTTTTTTTTTTGGTTGTTTTACGGGTGTGGTGAAGATGAAGAAAGGATCTTGTTCTGGTGAGGGGTCACGACTGCCTGTGTTCAGGGGTTCTAGGGTTGGTGAATGGGTGAGAGCAAAGATGGGGAAGAAACCATCCCCTAGATGCGTCGTTGCTAAAAATGGGAGGAGAGGGTCTCATTTTTCGATGTGTTAGGTTTAGGTTCCTTTTTCTTTATATCTAGGTTTTTTTTAATTAAAGGGTAGTGGGTTTGGGGTTGATGGGTTAAAGTGTATTTGGGCTGGGGTTGCTTCGAATTTGGGCTGGGGTTGGTTCAATTACCTCTTTTATTCCTTTTTCCTTTGTTTTTTCTTTTTCTTTTTCTTTAATTAAAATCCTAAATCAATCTATTTTTGCATAAATTAAAATTATTTATTTAATTTTAACATTAAAACAACTAATTAACTTAAAATTAAAGAAAAATGCTAATTTTAAAGACTAAAATCTAAATATGTAAAAATAACCATTTTTGTGATTTTTTTTGCTTAACAAAATTTATTCCTACATGCAAATTGAACCTAATATGGCATTAAATTAAAATGTGACAATTTTTATGATTTTAAAATATTAAAAATGCATGAAATGCAACTAAATAAAGAAAAATTCCTAAAAATCAATTAAATTTATTTTGGGTCTATTTTTGGGAGTTATTTCCATGCGGGGCAAAAATTAGGTGCTCGCAGTTATCCCTCTTTGCTCAGAAACATGATGAGTTTCCGGGCAAAGATAAAGTGAGCAACTACGAGCAATTTTTGCCCGTTAGAAACTCCATTTGGAGGAATTTTTGGAAAAGTCTGACCGAACCTTGCTTCAGAGGTTGCATACATATCCTTGGCTATAAAAGAATCAGGTTAGTGTAGTTCTGAAAGTTTTGGTAGGTGGGACTACCGGGAAACTCTGATTTCACTCCTGTTTCTACTTGCTGAACTCCTTATTACACCAAAATAAAAGATAAAAAGCTAAACTAGCTAAACCTATCAACTACGAGTTACAAGATTCATATCTATAAATCTTCTGAATCTTGATCTTGAGTCTTGGCTGGTTCTTCCTGCAGACTCCGATCTGAATTTTGATGCTCGTTAGCTACGAACGCTGGTTCATTTTTCTTCAGCTCTTCGGATCAAGGCGGGACATGCAAAGCTTGTGACTTCAACCATATCTTGGGCAGTCTGCATCTTTCTCCGTTTCTGCACTTAGATTTCAACTTCTTTTCTTTTATTTGTGTTGAGACTTCACCTTTTGGTCATCTCAAACCTTGTGCCTCACAGTAAAAACCTGTTCAAGCACCAAAGCAAATAAACGAACGAAATTTTTCTGCCCTCATTTAGGGAATAAGTGTCCCAAAATTCTCCGAAACACAAAACCGAACGTCCCGACAAACCAAAATAGCAGAAATGAACACGGGGAAAGTAGTTAATAGAGGATCGGGGCATAAATTCTAAAAACGATCGGCCGGGTCGTTACAGGAACAGTTTTTGGTTTGGCTTATATCAGGCATAAAATGTTTTATCCTTGTCTAAAAAGTGGTTAATATCTCTTTTCTCCTTTTTACTTTTCTTTTTTCCATCTTTTTTTGTCTTTGTGATTTTTTGTATTTTTTGAGTGGTTATATGTATACCAATATTCGAGTAACTTGTTCATTTTTTTTGCTTGTTGTGCAGCTATTTAGAAATTAGAGGATGAAGCTTTGCACTGCAAGAAGCAAAAAAGAAAGGCCTTTAGTTCAAGAATGGATCAACTCATTAACAGTTCCACTGAAAAATCGTGGTTTCTAGATTGACAACTATAATTTGATTGGATTTAAATTTCACTTGTGTCCCATATATCAAAGAGCTAATAACCAGATTTGAGAGGCAATTTTTGTGAATCTCTGACTTAATATCTGATAGGGCTATTTTTCACTTGATTGTGCACGGCTAGGATCGATATCCTTGACGACTATCTAATCTACATCATTGCTATGGCTCTTTCTTCGGTCCCTAACTGTAAGTTCTCTGTGGTTGTGCTGTGTATTCTGCAAGAAAAGGTTGTATTGTTCTAAATGATTCTATACTTGTCGGAGTAATATTTCTTTTAATTTTGTAGATCTTTCACTCCATTACTATTTTCTCCACCTTTAAATCTGGGCACCTAGAAATTTCTTACTTTTCTTTCTGACTCACCAATTTCAACTACAAAATATATCACTCGCCAATTTCTAGACAATAATCATGAGTCTTTTATTTTTTTACTGATTTCTTTTATTCCAATCGATTTTTTTTCAGATGTTGTCCCATTAGGATCAATTGCATTGAATACAAATTTTACAAATTTCGTTCTTTTTTCTGAATTCACTCTTCCCTGTTCTTGGTCTGAAAATAAAGAAAGGTCTTTCAAATTTAAACTCGATTTTGGTTCGTTACCAAATTCATTGATTAAAGTTAAGAACTCGTCAATTTCTGTTGATAATGGTTTTTATCAACCGTATCCACTTTTTGTTCAAATTCTTGGTAATCAGTATTCGGAAGAAAGATAGTATGAATTCTATTTATTCTAACTCTCTCTTTCCAATTTTCTAGCGTAAGTTTTGTTTATGATTGAAGGTTGAAAACTTTTTTTTGATTGTTCCTCGATATGGTCCATTTAACAAAGGTATCATACATTTTAGGCACGTATTCTTTTTTAGTATCATCATTACACAATCTAGTCCTTGTTTTCGAGTATATCGAGAGAAAAAAGTATCCTTGTCTAGAACTTCAAGTCGATTTAAAAATTCCTATTCAGTATATTACTTTTTCTTTGTTGTAGAATCCACTGATTGTCCAGTTCATTAGGGAGCGTTTTTTGGAATGACAATAGGGGTATCCTTCTTTTTATCATTTTCCAAAAAGTTGATAAACTTGGCGGGTATGTAAAAGATATTCTTTGTTTTCCATCACTTTTACATGTGTCAAAAAAATATTGTGACATTTCCGTTCTTACGGCCTGTTCAAATCGATTATTCTTTATGTAGCGAAATGGTCGATTCCATCGATTATAATCGAAAAGAAGACTCACAAGAGGTTGTTGAAACCAGAAGAGGTCTTTATTTTCATTTTTTTTATCAAGCAGTTGCAATTTCAAAATTTCTGGATTGCCCGTGTTATTATTATTCAGATAAGAATCCTCATAATCATAAATTGGACTATTACTAGTATTAATATTGTTATAGCCTGTCTCTGTAAGGTGAGAGTGGAAATTATCCTTTATTTTGTCCTTTCCATTCACTCGGATTTCTTCCGTTTCATCGATTTTGTCCGGATCCCACCTTTCTTCCGAAAAAAGGGAAGGAGAAGGATAAGGATCTTCTTCAGTGGATCCCTCTTGTTCCTGTTTAGTCCCCTTCATTTCGGAAGCTGTTTCTATTTCTACATCTCTTTCTTCCTCACTTTCCACCCTTTCTTCTGTTTTTGAGGCTTCTTTCAGTTTCTTAGTAAGAATGGGTGAGGGTATTCTGCCTAAATAGTAGACACAGGTAATAAATAAGAGAATACTAAAGATCCGAGCCATAGAATTTCT